CCTCTGTTTGGGATCTATAGGGAGTGTTAGTAAAAACTATACGCATGGTTATATTCCTGGTGATTAGTAGAGCATTTTTGGTTTTAGAATTTTTAATTTTCATTGAGTATCAAGAGAGCACGAAGGAGGAGAAGTAGTGTGCATGGATTCTGCAAAGCCTGAAAACCCTAGGTGTGTTGGGGACGATGACCCTCAACCGTCCGATCGTATTGGACATTTGACTTTGTAACATCATCGTGCGGCCAGAGTTTAAAATGAAAACGGAGGGAAAACTCCCAGCTGCAACGCAGCATTTTAATTAAAACTGAACCATGGGCCTCAGCAAAGCTTGCTACCCACACCCCCGCGCGGAGCCCAATCCAACTTTCAACTGAAAACCAATGCTATTTACACCGCAGCTTTAATCTTTTTCTTTTATTTTTCATTTCAATTTCTGATAGCATCTGGGCTTAGGCGTAGTTGATATCCGAACCCCCCCCCTCTTGGGCCCATCTAGGAATTCAACTAGGTGCCTCTTCTAAGCGCACCCCCCTCCCCATTTATTTTAATTCTTTGATTTTCATTTCTTTTAATTTTTCTTGCATACTATAAAATTCATATAAAATCCAAAAATTGATATTTTTTAATTCTTGTTTTTTCTATAGGTTTATAATTTTGTCTAGAAAATTAATAAAAATAGAAATTCCATTTTATTTTTAGTTTTATATTTTTAGAATATTATTCTTTTAAATAGCTTTTAAATAGGTTTAGTTTGATACTCAATTTTGTAGAATTTAGTTTAGGACTTTCCCTTAATCTTTTGGAGCCATTCTTTTTGGTGTGATTAGATATTGAATCATAGTTTCCCATAGGATTTATTTCAAGATTTTTAGATTAAAAGTTGATTAGTTTAATTAGGTGAGATTAGAGTAATCATAATTAGGGTTTAAGAATGCATAGGTGAAATAATTCATTTTCTTTTGAGAGTTTTGACTTGATTTTTGGGTATGGGCATATAGGGATGTTATGGGTAGGTGTTATAGACCCTTGTAAATGATTGTTAGAATTTTCCCCTTGATCTTTATATTTTTAGATATTTTCTGAATAGGACTGATTGTATTGACTGTCTGTGTGATATTTGTCTATCTCTGGGGTTTATCTTTGGGAAATTGTTGTGGGCTTGGTTTGTTTTGAAGATCTTGTTGAAGGAGCATGATGAAGGAGAAGATTGAAGATCAAGACCCAGAGGTTGGAGCTTGTTCTCTGTTTGGGAGGTTTGAGATCCTGAAGTTTGAGGGAAATTCATGGAACTTTCCTGAGGAAGGCACTATGGAGGTCTTTCATTCTTTCTTCTCACCTCTTTCTTAAGTATCCAATGATGTTGGAGCCTTCATGTGAGTTTAATTTCTCCTGAGGAGGAATGTAAACTGATCACAGTTGTTGAGCCACATGGGATACGATTCCTAAGTGGAAGCCCCCTAGTACTTTCCTGAGGAAGGTCCTATGGGTCTGGTCACTTAGTTCCCTTAGTTCATCTAGGACTTCTTAAGTATCCAATGATGTTGGAGCCTTCATGTGAGTTTAATTTCTCCTGAGGAGGAATGTAAACTGATCACAGTTGTTGAGCCACATGGGATACGATTCCTAAGTGGAAGCCCCCTAGTATTTTCCTGAGGAAGGTCCTATGGGTCTATTCACTTAGTTCCCTTAGTTCATCTAGGATTTCTTAAGTATCCAATGATGTTGGAGCCTTCATGTGAGTTTAGTTTCTCCTGAGGAGGAACGTAAACTGATCACAGTTGTTGAGCCACATAGGATATGACTCCTGAGTATAAGCCTCCTAGTGCTTTCCTGAGGAGGGCACTATGAGTCTGCCTACTTAGCTCCCTTTCTTTGGTAAGCTTGTTTTGAAGCTTGAAGACTGGGATTGATTTCTCTTGTATAGGGTTTTGCTTTAGGGCTTTGCTTAGATCCGATTAGGGTTTTGTTTTAGGGTTAGGATTAGAGTTTAGATGTAGATAATTTCTTTCTCAAGCATGTGGTTTGTTTGCCTGATGGCACTTCATTTCTTTTATCTGTATATTGCTTGATAGCATGTTGTTTATTTTCAGTATGATTACTGTTATTTCATGACTGGCTTGAGGTTGAGATGAGCTTGTGGAGGCTGAAGCCCCACACACATTTCCTCCCTCACTTGCATTGCAGGCATTTTACTGTTAAGCTGATGCTTTGTCTGTTTTGGTGTATCATTGACATGATCCCTTAGGACTCTCATTTCCTTTGATAAGGATTTGATGATAGACTTTTAGGTTGAAACCTATGCATGACAACTTCTAGGAGTTCCCTGTTCAAACCTCAACCATAGGATGAATCCATGGCATGATAACAGTAGGACTTGATAGTCTCCTCCTAGTTGGGCCTGTTCTCTTCTCATCTCAAAGCAGTTTAAGATACAGTAATCATGAATGATTTCCTTCGTACGTTACGAGCCTTAAGCTATCGGAGAAAGGATTGTGGGAGAGCTCCTTTTCCACGATCTGGATGTTTAGTATGGTACCCTTTGGGTGACATGCGACGCATTCACTCTCAGGTCATAGTCTCTAGTGCGGTTGAAATCGCAAACACAATAAAAAACACTTCTTTCAAAGCAGGAAATAACCCGTAGTTTCCCGAACTACGTTTGCTCTGATCTTCCGTGCAGTGTGGAAGTACGTAGGCATAGGATGCGATGTCCTAGCGAGCAACCTTCCCCCGTAATCCTTCGTAGGCCGAACTACGTTGACTCTGATTTCTCATTCTCTGATGAGAATACGTAGGCATAAAGTGCGACGCTTTGCCGAGTCATTTTTCTTTTCTTTTTCAGCCAGCCTTGATAGGTAGATAGAATAAAACCAACCCGTCCAAGTAAACAAACAAGCGTGGATCCCGTCGAGTACGACGGACGTGAGGGGTGCTAATACCTTCCCCTTGCGTAACCGACTCCCGAACCCAGACAATGGTTGCGATGACCTTGTCTTACCCTTATTCGTCAGGTTTTTCCGATCGTTTCCTTTCCCGCTCTGAGGGATAAATAACGAAAGGTGGCGACTCTTCTGTCATGCCGGCACCTTATTTTCGCGCAAGCGACACAATGTCGTGGAGCTCAATGAAGAAAAACATTGTGGCTTTGTCATCATGTGAAGTTGAGTGCGTGGCTGCATCATAAGCAGCATGTCAAACATCATGGGTATAGATATTGCTCGAAGAGCTGAAGATAATGGAACCTTAAAAAATGAAGTTATTTGTCTACAACAAGTCAAATATCGACTTGATGAATCATCCAACGTGTCATGGTTGAAGTAAACACATATAGAGGAGCTATCATTTTTTTATGGATCAAGTTAACAAAGGAAAACTTGAACTTGAGCATTATAAGACAAAATAGTAACTAGCTGGTATACTCACTAGACTTATGAAGAAAGTCAAGTTTAACGAGTTGAAGAGAAGCATCAGGATGAGAATTCTCGAGAACATGAATTATGGGGCGTGTTAAAAGTTGTAATTCAATTTTCTACTTGAGGCTAGCATTCGAGTATGTCGAAGTAACTAGTCGGAGGTGTAGGAGTAAGTCGTATTCGACAGAGTCGAATACAACATATAGTTGGTGTGTCGAAGCGAAACTTGTAGCTTTGTATTTTACATTTTGTTTATTTTGAAATTGGATCGTTTTGTATAGTTTTAGGTATGGACTTTGTTTGCCTATATAAATGCCTTGTATGATGTAAATCACAAAAATTCACTCAATAAAATTTTCTCTTTTACAATTCAGTTTCTCTTTTCTCTCTCTCTCTATTTCTTCTTCTTTCATCTTTTTTGAAAACCCTTTTTGTTCAAACATTTTTTATTTATTTATAAAAATGATATAAAAATTTTATTATTTTGTATATTACTCGATGATATATTATTTATTTTCGTAGTATTGTATTATTTAACACCGTCTGTTATATTTTATTGTTGAAATTATACTTACTTTAAATAAACACTATACAAACAATGTACATTTGTCACAACAAGAAGATTCAGTAACTCACATAACCAACATTTTCTCCTTGTTTCATTAGTTCATGTAGTATATTACCATCTCTCTTGAATAAACCACCCTTATTCAATCTCTATCTCTTACACACACAAAAAAAACTTACATGTTATCTGTGTTTTAGTTACCGCTCTTTTTTCTTGAAGAAAACTTACATATTATTTATATTTTAGTTACCACTATATATTTAATTTTCACGATTGCAACAGTCAAATCGTATCAAATTTTCTTTCTCATATAAAAAAATTAAAAATAATTTATCATTTTTAAACAAAAATTCACATTTTAAAAACCAACAAATAAGATATTGCGAGTTTATACTTAGATTTCTTCCTACAACTATAAGATATAGATGTCTTGATAATCCTTGCACAACTATTGGATGACTTAACATATTAATTAATTTATTATTTTGTCATTAATTTCAACTAATTCTAACATCAAATTTTACTCCTACCAAATTTGTGGGTCCCTTAAATAATACAAGTGCCACATGGCCTTTATTGAAAAACAGAGTACCATTGATTACGTACATATAATTTTCTCACACGTCATACAGAGCCATAGAGCAATAATTCAGTACAGTCCAATACAATTTAGCACTCGGAGGTCGGTCCAATCAGAGTCGCCGTGTTTATTAAAATACACAGATCAAAGCGGGTCCATGGTAATGCGAAGTAGAGAACAAAAACGGGAGATCAAGGCCGTTGATTCAAGTGGGAACAGGTGGAGTCGCAGCATAAGGAACGTGAGTGTGACTACAAACAATTCGTGTCTCGTTTCTATTCCTTACTCAAAAAATAACAAATCACAATAGAAGCGTGTGCCATCAAAAAAACTTTCAACAATTTTCCTCACACGTGTCGATTTCTTACGTGTCCTTTCTTCAATTCTTTTCCTTTTATCATCTCCTCTCTCTTTCAAACTCAACCACTGCCACTGAGTTATGGAGCGTTTGGACGATTCAGAAGAGCAACTCGAACGAGTTGACTCTGATCAGTTAACATTGACAAGCTCTAGTTCAGGCATTTCCTCGGTATTCAGTACTGACGATTTCCGTAACTTCAACGGCTCCGGTGACATTTCCTCTATCAGCAGTGGCTCAGGTGAGATTCCGATATTTACGGTGAATCGAGTGATTCTTGCACCTTCGTTGATCGCTGAGAAGAATGAAGGTGACAGCAACCTCAACAAGGCTGACGTGACGGCGGTGAGGGAGAAGTGCGTCGGAAGGAACAACAAGGGAGTGAGTTGGGGATATACTTCAGTGATTGGGAGACGGAGAGAAATGGAGGATGCCGTAGCTGTTATTCCAGGGTTTTTATCACGCACTTGCAATCACGTTGGTGGTTGTACGGCTCCCGGTTCTAGATCCTCCGGTGAGATCGGTCCTGTTCATTTCTTCGGCGTTTATGACGGACACGGCGGCTCTCAGGTACACACCTTCTCTTTCTTCCATTTTTATTAAAGTATTATTTCGAAAAACAACCGTTTCTATTTTATTTATTTATTTTGGTGAATTTTATTTATCTGCCATATATGTTAATCTGGTTACATTGTGGCGTTATGTGTGCATAAATAATAAGTTAATTGATACTAATAACTGCATATATTTAGTATTACAGTTTTGTTTATTTGTTCTTTTGATATTAAATTTCTCAGAAGTCATATTTATTGTTATACTTTAATAAAATTGTGATGATCGTTCTTTTCAAAAAAAGAATTGTGATGATCGTTAAATTAAAACGGGAATGTAGTTGGTTTGTGTTTTTTCATAGGAAGGACACGTGTTATAGGTAGAATGGTCCACAAAAGAGAGATGAATTAATTGTGTTTGGTATTATGGTGACACGTTGTAGATACAGTAGGTACAATACCGGCGTGGGCCTTTTCTTTTTTTGGTAGGTATCTTCACTGTTTTCTCTTATTATTATATTATGGATGTAAAATTGAATATTAAATATACACGTGTTTAAAAATATGTATTATTTATACATAAAATTATAATAATAAAAATAATAAAGAGAAAGAGAAATAGAGAGAGAGGATCTTAACCATTTTTTTTTCTAGTAATACGAATTTGAAATAGTTACTGGATTGATTAGAAAATAGTTACTGGATTGATTATAATAATAAATATGTTATTAGAGCATTAGTTTCCATATTGCTCCTAGCTCCTCTAGAGACTCTTAACAATTTTCATTAAATTGTAATCGTGAAAGTGTGTTAAGAGTTCTGCTTCAGATATATCGGATAAAAATATGTAATGAATGTGCTAATGATGATGATTATTATGAAATAATTGAATGTTTTGGTGGGTGTGGTGCTGTTTGTTGGGGGAGAAAGAGTTTTGGAGGAAAAGGTTTAGTTACGTGGATGGAATGATGAGTCTTTATTTATTTTACCTAAAGAAAAGGTACGTTGCTCATATCATGACATGTGTGAGTAAGTGGGACCTACGTTTCACTATGAACCTTTGCATATTATTATTATACAGGGTTGACGTATGATTGTTGAGGTGTGTCTGCCCTTTCACGGAAAAGTGTATTAAATTTCATTAGTTTAAAGGAGTGAGGATTAAATGAAACTTTCATCCGACAATATTGTACGTATTCTTCATAACATTGCCATACTATTACAAATAAATAACTATAATGCTTTCAATTATATATACTAATATGCCATCATTTCAAACAAAAAAAAATTCTTAGTATAAAGGTGTCGTCTATTGAATGAGCAGCAGTGTATAAAACAAAGTAGATTCTGTCTAAAGAATAGACGGCAGTGTAAAAGAAAAAACAAGTGTAGCTCATTTAAGGGGCAACACTTTTTTTTCTTGGACAATGTCGTCCATTTATTGGACAGAACCTACTTTATTTTACATACTGCCGCCCATTCAATGAGCAACACCTGTATAATTAATTTTTTATTTATTTAAAATGATGGCATATTGGTATATATGATTGAAAAGTATAACATTAGTTATTTATTTTTAATAATATGGTAATGTTGTAAAAAATTCATATTGTACATCTGCTTAAAATTTTGTTACTCCATATATTCCTTTTTGCAAGCATCGATCCCCATCATCACTACTATTAATTATTTCTGTTAAGTTCTCATACCACCACATAAATCGTGCATGAACTACTAATTTGATAGTAGTATATAAATAGAGCAAACCGCACTGATATCTAAAGTTTTAAAAATTGGCTGCAGTCCTATAAAGGTTTTCACAATTACTATCGGTGATATTGATTGCAGTTGTTAGAGTGTGAGTTAAGCACAATTTATTTTTTGCAGCTTTTTTTACATCAACGAACTGTTTTTTAAAACATTATGTTCTTCTAACATTTGTGTTGATTTAATCCTAGGTTGCTAAATTTTGTGCCACGCGGATGCATGATATTATAGCAGAGGAGTGGGACCGAGAAATAGCCGGTGGTGCTGAATGGCAGAAAAGATGGGAAGCCGTATTTGCTAATGGCTTTGAGAGGACTGACAGTGAAATCGAATCAGAAGCAGTTGCACCAGAAATGGTTGGATCTACTGCCTCTGTGGTTGTTCTATCTGGTTGTCAAATTATTACATCCAACTGTGGCGACTCAAGGGTGGTTCTTTGCCGCAGGACTCAAACACTCCCATTGACAGTAGATCAGAAGGTCTAGTCATAACCTATTTATCTTCTTTGTTGTTCTATGCATTCTTTAGTTTCCATGTTCTAAACCGTGGTTGCTGTCACAACAGTGAATATGCGATAAATCTTGATATCGCAGAAAATTAAGACAAACAACCGCAATTGCATTTGTGATGTATATAGGATATGATTTATCTGTTTTCAATAATAATAACATGAAAACATAAAAGCATTTCCATGTACTGCTTTTTGAAGTTTTGAGATGCTTGTAACCAATGAGAAAGGATCATCAGAAAAGAAAAATAAAATTATTAAGAGACGATATCTATTTTATGCTTACGCGCAGACATATATTAAAAAATTGTGTTTCCCTTCAATGCGGTTGGTTCTGAAATGCCATTGTCCTTGCTTGTACAGCCTGACAGAGAGGACGAACTCTTGAGAATTGAAGGAGAAGGAGGAAAAGTAATAAACTGGAATGGAGCTAGGGTGTTTGGTGTTCTTGCCATGTCCAGGGCCATAGGTACCTTGATTTATCTGATATATCCAGTCTTGGTTACTAATTTACCAAATGATTTCTTCCTTTGAGCTAATTTTTATGCCAAATAGTCTTCTGCTATGAGCTAATAAGGGAGTGCAAAGTAAAACGGATTAATATTTAAATAAGTAGATGACTTTTCTCAAAAGGGTTTTGATCCTGTACACACTGTGATTATCTGATAGCTATCTACTCTCTTGTATCTATTTCATGGAATTTCAAAAGTAAGTTTGTCCTTACCAACACAAATATATTTTTGTTTTTACCATTTCACTTTCCAATTTTTATGCAGTTATAACTTCCACACGGTTGCTTAGTGGATTTATATATTATAGATTAAATTCTTAATTCTTTCACCTTTGCAGTTTGCTAGTGTTTTTGCAAGCTTCCTAGGTACTATAGACTTTCAGTGGATTTGTATAAATGTGTCAATTTTGAAATATACGAATGTATAAGGAAACTTAAAATGGATGTTGTCTTCTTTTCAATGATTCTTATCACTTTACTTGTTCCGCAAGCATCATAAAAAAAACCAGTAGCATCTTGGTGATAAAACCATTTTCTGCCTAAAAATTAGATGGCAAGAGGCTTAGCTGCAAATGTCTTTAACTGTATTTACTGCCTAATAATGGTGATATTTTAGGTGATCGGTACTTGAGACCATGGATTATTCCGGTGCCAGAGATAACTTTTACAGCAAGAACTGAAGAGGATGAATGTTTAATTTTGGCTAGTGATGGACTTTGGGATGTAATGACGAATGATGAAGTAGGAGAAGTAGCGCGCCACCTTCTAAGAAGACGCCGCAGATCCTTGTCAATGGAGGAAATATCCCCAACACAAGTTGTTGCTGATAGACTCACTGAAATTGCTATTAGTAGAAACAGTAAAGATAACATTTCAATCATAGTTATTGATCTGAAATCAAATAGAAAACGTCTGCAAAGGCGTACTTCAATTTCCCAAGAACTCGGTTGATTCTCTTCGATAGGTTTCAACCTTTACAAGGTGACGAACTCCCTAGAGTTGATCTACATATAAGCAGAAAAAAATCCTCAGTCATGATGGTTCTCGGATATCATTTCGACAATTGTGTTTCGCTTAAACTGCTGTACAGAGCTGACTGGCAAAATAATCTGCTTCATGACAAGAAACAACTAGCTAGGCATTGTTTGTTACAATGAAGTGCTTATCAATACTTCATTTCATCAGTTCAGTCCTTGACAGGGGTAAATAGAATGAATTTACCAATTCATTTGTTGAACTTTTAAAAACTAATACTAATGGAATGAAATATGAAATTCTCAATTTTCTTCTTTCTTATTTGGAGGTATAGGATAATACAATAACTCTTTAATTTCTCCACATGAATAATTCTTACGTTCACTTCAAAGTTGAAACACAAAATGCCATCCAAAATTAGTACATAAACTAGTTACTCTACATGGCGTAGAAGCTATATTAATTTGACTGCAGTACCTTTCTACACCGCTGATATATAAGTTAGGGATCGGAGTTAAAGTTTGGATTAAATTTCGATCACAATTCAGTAGGCAAAACTAGGACTGAATCTGGTCTTAAGCATTATTTGCTATTATTCCTACTTTACATGTCTCTCGACCTTCTGCAGCAAAAGTTCATATTAAGATGAATATGCTGTTATTTGTAAGAAAATTTGCATTAACTTAGGCATACAAAAATCAAACTAAATAATAAGTTAGAAACATTTGAGAAATCACTCATCACTCCCATCGTCCTCCTGAGGTTGAAGAATGCATTTTCCACCCATAAGAAAGTTAAAAACTTGCCTCAAATTTCCTCTGGACGGTCGAGCATTTGTTGCAAATTTACAGACAAATACAAGTCGTCGCCTCATATCCCATTTAGAAACATGTATTATATTGAAGGATTCCCCATCGTCAAAAGTACCTATAAATAGCCATGAATGTATACAAAACATCAAGCTTTAAATATTATAGAAATAATGGTTAATGATACTGAAATGCATCAATTCCACATTATGTGAGGGAAATTGACTTTATGATTAATATTTTGTAACAATATGAAAGCTATATGTACCTTTTTCATCAAATAATGACATCAAAATTGCTAAACAAACACATACACTAATATCTTCCCCTGAAATGCAAACAAAAATCATATATTAGGTTATTTAAAATTCATAAAATATTTACATAGATCCAGCGGAAGGATTAAGGACAGGCTCAACAGAAGTCATACCATTATTACAACAAACGAGAAGTCGTTTTCCTTGGCTAAGGTTGAACTTTGCGAAGCTCACGGCTTTAGAAAGATTGTTGAATATGGAAAATCGATCAAACTTTGAACTCTGGCCACGGAAACTTAAAATGAGTTGAAAAATTAAAACAGCAAAAACAAGTTTTATTTCCACTTCATACTAACCACCATCGGAAGATGTAGATACGCATCAGTACTGGGAAGAGAAACCGATATGGACTCACTATCACAGTTCAATATACAATCAACATCAGCTGCATCTATAGCTGCACCAAACACAAACACTCAGCCGCATAAACAAGACAACAAACTATATCTGTTAACTGTAATATAAGTCGGTATACCGAATTGAGATGCACCAACTGCCAGATTAGTTGAACCCAACCAAGAAACTTCAAAATCATCACAAGACTCGTTCGCGTCAACTTCAATATTTGAAATATCAGAAGCCAGTGACGGTTCTTCATGTGAAAGTGATTTAACTCTAATCTGAGGAGCATTCTCTCCTCTATAAGCACGCCGCACTCTACTCTTTTCAACTATATCAGCAACCTTCTGGTTGCACATTTCCGGACCTGAATTTATAAGATCATAAACATGATTCCAAAAGAGAGGCGGAGTTAAACCCCTAGACCAACTTTCTTCGTCGTCTCCGGCACCAGGTATATAATTCCAGCTAAACTCGGAAGTAGTCCTATTGTGTTGGCTTACTCCGTTCGACGAAGAAGACGCTGAAACAAGTATGATGGGAGTGAAATCCCAAGAATCATGATGAGGAACTTCATTTAACCAGATCACAGTTCTCTGAGAAATCCAAAGCGGACGTAACGGTTTCTTCACCGAAACAGCAAGAGAAGCAATGTCAGCTCCACTTGCTTTCAGTTGTTTCGTCCATTCCTCTAAGTGCTCCTCAATGGAAGCCTTTTCGGTTTGTGGAACCCAAAGAGGAAGGTGCAAAGAGCAATCCCAATCTCTTGCAATCTCACCACATCCATTACAATCCTCCTGTTTCATGAATTGAATGCAACAACACAATTACAAAGAGATAACAATGTACAAAACTAAGGTTTTAAAAAAGATGGTCTGTTACTGTGAAAATGGCCGCGACAAACAGCAATCATCGCAACACTTTTACCGACCGAAATTGCGAAACCTTATACACAACAATTCAAACCAGAATATTGAAATAAGCATCATTATCAAACTCACTTGTGGCAATGCAGCATCATTCTCATGAATATTAGAATCTGTTCTAAATTGAGAAATAGCACGATTAAGAACACAAGTCCAAATAGGTATAGTTTTTGACATGCTATCAGGGAAACGTTTTCCTCTTCTAGTAGAATCAACAACCATGCAACCACCTTTCTGCGCTACCCAATTGAACAAAACAATAAAAAACCGATCTTTGAACCTTAAACATTAAACATAAGAATATCAAAAGAAAACAAGATTCTTGTTGAATAGTACCTGCAAGTTGAGCGACATGGAGATTGAGACGAGAAGTTGAGAAAGAACAGTTGTTGGTGTGACCATCGGTGGATTTGAAGTAACACGTTGAATGAAAATTCGAAGAGTACCATAAACCACAACGGAGATTTGCGAGAAGAGGAAGTTGAGGCCATAATTGAGAAATTTCAGAGACGAAAACTGAGTCTTGGTAGATAGATCTAAGTGCGTTGTATAAACTGTTGTCTCTTTTCTTAATGGTTCTTGCTGCTTTGTATATGCTAAGCTTCGACCATTCTCCATCTTCTACCTCCATTGATCTCTCTCTCTCTCTCTCTCTCTCTCTAGAAAGGTTGGTTTGGTATTGATACGAATCATGCGCCGTTAGAATGGTTCACACGAGGAGAACAGAACATGACCTAGGAGAAATATGTGGACATGTCATCATGTTTTTGAAAGTACAATGTTGTTGGGTTAAAAAAACATATCCAATAGTAGAAATATAGATCTTCCACAGTTAAAAAAAGTCAGAGGTAGTAATAGACTAATAGTACTAGAAACAAAGATTCTATATGTAAAAGAAATATGTAAATGGTAAATATAACTTTTCTTTTAAAAAAATTTTTTTCTTGTAACTTTTTTTTTATTTAAAAAAATTTGTTTTACCTTAAGTTTTATTATTATATTTAGTTTATATAAAATTTATTTATATTAACATTGATCTATGCAATTTATTAAATATTCTATTTTATTTTGGTAATATTTATGATAAAAAGATTAAAATCAAATATTTTATATAATGCAAGGCTAATTCTAATATACTAAATTAACTTTGCAGATTTTAAAACAAAAAAATAATAAATAAAATAAAAAATATTTTTTAAAAATTAAAATCAATAAAAAATATTATAGGAATTAAAACCAATAAACATATTTATGAAAACTAATTATATATTTAAGTATTTTTGTCAAAAAGTTTATATATTTAATTTTTTTTATTAAAAAACATGATCTCTAAATGTTTATATTTTTATTTTTTTAATAGCAACAAAACATAACTGGATTTTTCCAAAAGATTCTTTTAAAACACAACAATTTGGCGTCAATTGCACAAGGTTTAAATGTTGTATCAAGATGCTGGAGCATCGTGTCCAGCATGTGTCCCCTTTTCAGTTCTATATAATTTTAGCAAGTTATACCAATCTTGAACACTTGAACACTTCTCTAAGTTATGTTTTGATAAAATGTAGTCTATCCAAATGATCAATCCACTAGAAACAACAATTTATCTAAACAATCCAATCCATTTTTGGGTGTTATATGACACAGTCTCTAAAGTTAAGAATTTGTTTCGAATATCTAGTTTGAGTGTTCAAAACCGTGATAAGTGGATGACAATTCTTAATATGAGTTACTCTGTTGCTTCTAGATATAGTATGATATTGGTCTCGTTATCCCATAACCTTAACATCACTTTCTTTTCACTTGTGGCGTCTCCATCTATGTCTCCGAGTAAACATAAGTTTATTGTAGTTGGTTATGTTAACAACCGTCATTGAATTCAGATAAAGTTGAAATTTGATTGTCCATTAACTTCTGTCACTGATCGTTGGAGATAGTGAAAGAGTATGAGAAACAACATATGCGGGACGTATAAGTAATTAACAAGAAAAATTTTAAAAATTAATATAATTTATTTTATATTAATATTGATCGATCTTTATGTAATATATATATATATATATATATATATATATATATATATATATATATATATATATATATATATATATATATATATATATATATATATATATATATATATATATATATATATATATATATATATATATATATATATATATATATATATATATATATATATATATATATATATATATATATATATATATATATATATATATATATATATATATATATATATATATATATATATATATGTTTTGGACTGGGCCCCGGGCTGAACTATGCTGGCCCAGCCCAATAATGTTCCACCAGGCCCTGCCCGGTCCGGGTACCGCGTCGAGCACAAGATCCCCGACATGCCAGAATGAACCCTCCGCGAAGGAGAACCGTCCCAACCACGTCGGGCAAGAGAATCGCCCGCACGACCAAGCACCGCCCTCCGCGGGCGGCATTCCCATGCCATCGAGCAAGACCATATGGCTCTCCCACGTCCCCATGTGCTCCCCTCCGCGGGGAGAACAACGTGCCACCCGCACGTTCTCCACGTGCCCCCCCTCCGCGGGGACACGTCATCCCCCCAACTGCCCACCTCCGAAAGAGCAGGTCAAACCCACTTTTCGGAGATCTCGGGATAGTTGGACTAGGGCGAAGACCACGTCCTGGTCTTCACTACGCCACGTAAGTCCTAGCAGTTACCTAGGTTGGGCCTGGCAATCTAGCCCAACGCAAGTGACTGTTGGCTCAACGCTGGGGTCTCTCTATAAATACCCTCTTCCTCAAGAGGGTCAGGTAATTGACTTCTTACCCACTTTCCGTACTGTGCTCTCACTCTGCCCAGCTCCTTACTTTGGCATCAGAGTGTCTTGCAGGTACACCCCCCTTTCTCCTCATCACCGGTGAACAGGTAGCAGTCCAACAGAGTGTGGCCAGCCCGTGATCCCCTTCTGATCAGGTCAGATGAGTGGCGCCGTCTGTGGGAACAGAAACTTCCCCGTTACTCCGAGTAGAAAACCAAAGTTTCACCAGCACTCCACGATCATGGCTTAGCCCACACCACGACAATATCATGCACGACTTTGTGCTCAACGCCGCCGCCAACGGAAGCAAACAGATGGAGACGTCACGTCCGGCGGAGACCGACGAGAGAGACGGTCAGACTGCTTCTCCGTCATCCGCAGAACGGCTGCGCCAGGCCGACCACCGGCCCCCGAGCCCAGCGGCGTTCCAACCCGTTCCTATCCCAGCGGGAGCGGACTCAACGGTGGCCGCCCTCTTTGCGGCCATCAACCAGACGAACCAACTGCTGTTTGTCATACCCTAAATTTGTCCTACCTCTTTTCAAATATTTTCGCATTTTTATTTTGCATTTTTAAACTTAATTTCATGCCGTCTAGACACGTGGTCACTCCCAATTGGGCGTTTTTCAAATCTCGACTATTTTTGTCCAGTAGGGGCGTGACACGTGGCCTAAGGGCATTTTGGTAACTTTTGTTTTCATTTTCATTTTCCCTTTTTTCCTTTTCAAATATTAAAATTTTGTTCATATTTTTATTTTATCATTTATTTAATTCAAATAGTTCGTTTTATTAATTTTTTTTTAGAATTAGAATAGTTATTTTTTTTTCTTTAGAATAGATTTTATTTTAATAGTTTTTAAATAGAATTATTATTTGTTGGTTTTATAGAAAATGGTTTTTTTCTTATTTAGAATAGAAATAGATTATTTTTATAGCATAGAATTAATTTGTTTGTTAGAGATATTTTAGGATTTTAGAATTAAGTTAGCAATGTTATAGATATTTTAGGATTTAAATATTTTTTAAATTTTAATTTTTTATTCTAGAGTTTTAACAGTTTTTAATTTTATTAGAAATAGTTTTTATTTTAAATAGATTTAATTATATAGTTTAGAAATAGCTTCTAGGTTAAACATAATTTTTAGTGTATTTTTATTATTAGGAGCTAAATAGAGTTTTATTTTGTTTTTATATAGAATTTTGTTTTGTGTAAATTTTATTAAGTTTTTTTAAGAATTAGTTAGAGTTATTTCGAGTTTTTAGCTTATTTATTTATTTATTATTTTATTAGAATATTTAGTTTAATTAGAATAGATTATTTGATTAGGGTTAATTATTATTTATTATTTAGATTTTTATTTTATTTTTAATTATTTAGTTAGATTAATTAGTTTAATTAGGATTTATGGTATTTATTAGTATTATTAAATTAGGATTAATTTATTTCATTATTAATAGTCAGATTTTGTTTAGTTTTTTTTTTAATGATTTAGATTTTTTTTTTTTTTTAATTATTCATTTTCAATTATTAGATATTATTAGACTAGAATTATTTTAGTTTAGTATTATTTAGAGTTTTCTTTTTAATAGAATCATTTCCTTTTAATTATATTTATTATTAGTTAATTTTTTAATAATTATTCATTAATCTGCATTTGTTATTAATCATTATCATTAATTATTAACTAGAAAAAATTAAAAAAAGAACTGTTGTGCCATGTATCATTTTCGTAGGGTATAAGACCCTATTCATCATCCCCTTCACAAGGGGAACCCTAATCTGAAGTAGCCTCCAAACCCTAAGAAAAACAGCCGCTCCTTCCTCCTACCTCTCTTCCTCCTACCTCTCAGCATTCAACATTCTCCAATCTGTGTTCTTCACAAAAAAAAAAAAACCCACCAAACTCCATTAAACTTCACCCAGAAACATAACACTCTTCCTCCATCCTCACTAACCAACAACAAAACTAAAGTCAATCAACCTCGAGCAACATCAATCCAAACTTCAACCAAACTTCATCAGAAAACACAAACACTCAACATCTATTTTAACGTAAACTCAAAAAATACCCTTTCAAAGAACACGCTCCACCGCCTTCCATCTACCCCCCAACCTCAGACAACCATCCGCGAATCAACTTTTGAAACCTTCCGACCAAAACAAAAAACCGCTCAGCCGCGCTCCAAATTCGCCGGCGAAACCGTTTCCGCCAAATCCATTTCGGCGAACAAAATCAAAACAGAGAGATGAAAAAAGAGTTGAGTTGAGTGAATGAAAAACAGAAATAATAAAATGAAAACAGAAAGATTTGAGTGAGAGTGAGAGACGTTTTGAGATCCAAACAGTGACGGAGAGAACGAGGATAACGAAGATGAGGAAGTTGCTTCCATCTTCTTTTCTTTTTTTTCTTTTTTTTCTTTCTTTTCTTTCCTTTTTCTCTTCCTTTTTTTCTGTTTGTTTTAATTTATGTTGATTTGATTTTATTTTATTATTTTTAGTCTTATTATATATATATATATATATATATATATATATATATATATATATATATATATATATATATATATATATATATATATATATATATATATATATATATATATATATATATATATATATATATATATATATATATATATATATATATATATATATATATATATATATATATATATATATATTTGTTTAATGGCTGATTGCTGATTGTTTGGTTGGGTTTCTAAAACCCACCATTGATTCTCGTTTCTCACCCCCGTTTTTTCATTTCTACCCCCCTGTTTTTTATTACTATTATTAATTATTTTTTGTATT